GTGTGCAGGACGCAGCTGGTCGATGTTTCTCTCTCATCGATGTTTCTAGCTCTCTCTCTCTCTCCCTTCCTCTCTGTAAAAAATCAATAAAATATATTTTTTTTTTAAAAAAGAAGAAGGAATCTGTGGACGAAAGGTAGTTTTGAGAGGCATTGGGCGTCAGAGGAGCTTCAGCTGGAGGAGCTACTAGACGCTCCTTGTCTAAGGACCCCGTGCTATTTATTAACACAATTTGTCCCAAGGCAAGGCGGGGATACACACTTCAAAGGGTCACAGAGATTGCGGGTTTGGGGATAGCCCACAGCGGTTCCGCGTTTGGCTAAGAGGAGGCAACAAAGGCCCTGGGCTGTCTGGCAGCCAACACCCCATCCAGGTTGGCAGACGTGCTTGGCAGCCGTTCCAACAGGTGAGCTCCGGGTGACTCCGCCCTGTGACTCCCTGAGCTTCGCCCATGTCATCATTACCTGCTGGAAGTGGCTCCCGGCACTCCATCCCCTGCACGGGCTTCCCCCGCTCCAGCGGGTCCGAGCCGGCAGGGGGAGGCCACGGCGGACGCACAAATCGGAACAGTGGCTCACGTCCTGTGTGGGGCTCGTCCAGACCTCAGGGTGCTGACCTGCATGTACGAACATTCACGGCCCAGAGCACAGGGTCCATGGGGGCCACGGTCTGTGGCCTCTGCTCGCTCTGTTCCTCTGCTGGAACTGCCTCCCTCCCGCTCCCCCGTCCTTGGGTCCCAATGCCATATCGCCTTCCCCGGGCCTGAGGCATCCCCACCCCACGTGGGGTCCCATTCTCTCCTCTCCCCTTTTTATTGATTTCAGAGAGAGGGAGAGGGAGATGCACGCCCCCTACTGGGGATCTAGTCTGCAGCCCAGGCCTGTGCCCTGACGCATGGACTCCTGACCTCCTGGTTCGTAGGTCAACGCTCAACCACTGAGCCAGGCCTCCCTGAACACCTGTCTGCAGGGAATGTGTGACCTCTGACCTCAGCCTAAAGGTCATCATGGCTGGGGCAGCGGGCATGTGCCGGGGCCTCTGTCTCCATTTCTCGTTTGTCCTGCCCACACGGGGCCTGAGCCCGAAGGCACCGGACCCTGCAGTGTCACCTGGAGGCCTGGCTGCCCAGAGAAGACTGGTTTCCCGCCTTCTCTGCAGCGAGTCAGGTCATGTGTGAGCATTTCCAGGCCCTGTCTCTACAGAGAGTCCGTTGGGCGCAGTGTGGGGGGCTGCTGGGTCGCAGTGGGGGCTGCTGGGTGCAGTGGAGTGCAGTGCCCCTCCCCGGCTGGATGCAGTGTGTGGGGCCCACTGGGCACGATGCCACCCTCCCTTCCCCCCCCGCTGGGCGCAGTGGGGGGCTGCTGGGTGCAGTGGGGGACTGCTGGGCAGTGAGGGTCGCTGGGCACAGTGGGGGGCCACTGGGCGCAGTGGAGGGCTGCTGGGTGCAGTGGAAGGCTGCTGGGTGCAGTGCCCCCTCTCTCCCTGCTGGGCGCAGTGGGGGGCTGCTGGGCGCAGTGGGGGGCTGCTGGGCGCAGTGGGGGGCTGCTGGGCGCAGTGGGGGGCTGCTGGGTGCAGTGCCCCCCCCCGCTGGGCGCAGTGGGGGGCGGAGCTGGAGCAGAGGCTGTGCGCAGGGTCCGGGCCGAAGGACTTTCTTTCTTTCTTTTTTTTTTTTTAAATATATTTTTTACTGATTTTACACAGAGAGGAATTGAGAGGGACAGAGAGTTAGAAACATTGATGAGAGAGAAACACCGACCAGCTGCCTCCTGCACACCCCCCACTGGGTATGTGCCCGCAACCAAGGTACATGCCCTTGACCGGAATCGAACCTGGGACCTTTCAGTCCGCAGGCAGACGTTCTATCCACTGAGCCAAACCGGTCCCGGCCAGGCGGAAGGACTTTCTGTTCCCGCAGCCTCGGAGGCTAACACTCAGCTGCATGCGGGAGGAACCCCGCTCCTCCAGAGTCAGCCACTCATTTTGGGGTCCCCGGATGAGACCTGTCGTATTTCCACGGCCTCCTGGGCTGTAGTGAGGAGCAGTCTCCCAGATTCACGTCCTCCCACACCCCGGCTGTGGGTCAGAGGACACGGCTAGGGCAGAGCTCCGGCTCCTGGCGGCTGACTGCGCGGCCATGAGCGCCTCTCGGCGGTGGCTGCACCCCGCCCCCTGCCTCCCTGGCCGCTGCCTCCCGGGCCCTGGGACTAAGCGGCGGCCTGGTGCCTCTTTGATTGCAAAAGCCTCCCCACCAGGGCCCACCCTCACCTCCACCGCCCCAGGCCCTGGGCTGGTTTCCAACTCTCCCTCCTGAGCTGCCCAGGCCTCCACCCCACACACACACCTCCTGGCCTCCCCCCCAGCCCCGGGCCTCCCCGCCTCCCGGCCCCAGGCCTCCCCCCCTCCCGGCCCCAGGCCTCCCCCCCTCCCGGCCCCGGGCCTCCCCCCCTCCCGGCCCCAGGCACCATAGCATCAGCGGGCTCACTCCCAAGGGCTTCCAGGCCTTCCGGTACCTCCATACCTTGTTTCCTAAGCCCGTTTCTGAGTTACTGTCCTTCCTCTGTGATGTACCCCCCTCTCCACCCCCACCCCCCCCGCCCCGGGAAAAGAGAAAAAGCAAATCATTTCTGACACCCCATCCCCTCCTCCTAGTCCCCAGGCCTCGGTTGGCCAAGCGGCTTGTCCAGAGAGGGGGCCTCTGTCAGGGGGGCTGTCTGGAGGGGGTCCTGCCAGGTCCTCTGGATGTTCCAGGTCCCTCTGACCCTCCCGTGGCCTCTCGGGGGGACCAGGCGGCCTTGGGCCTGAGGATGGCTGCCCCTCGGTCACCTTCAGCCACTACAGCCTCGAGGACAGGGGTGTCAAAGTGTGGGGGTCACAGGTCTCCATCAGCAAACCTGTGTGACCCCGAGACGTCTGAGATCGGACACACACACACACACACACACAATGCACAGACCGCAGAGGACAGGAACGCAGGGCCCTCACCAAAACCCAGACCCTGAGCTCCAGGAAGGACGGCGATGGGATCTGAGGAGCCCGGGCGGGCGGCTCCGAGGGTGAGGTGTCCTTGGCCTCCCCACAGGTTGCCGGCCTGATTCCCATGGGCACAGGCCCGGGTTGCAGGCTCGGTTCCCAGTGTGGGGCGTGCGGGAGGCTGCGTGCTGATCCTTGGTTCTCATCATGGATGTTTCTCTCTCTCTCCCTCTCCCTTCCTCTCTGACATCAATAAAAAGAACCGGAAAAGACACCACAGACCGGGAGAAAGGCCTTGGCAGGCATCCCGCAGACACCAGCAGCCCACGGCTCAGTGAGGGAAACGGACGGAGAGGGAACGGACCGACGCTTTGCCAAGAAGGTGCACAGGCCGCCTCTGCGCCCGAAAACCTGCCAGCGTCCCGGGCGGCTCAGGGCGGGCGCGGGCCTCGGGATGTGCGGCCGGACCGGGCCGCGGGCACCCACCCGCCCGGGACGACAGGCCGCGGCTCCGCGCAGACACCACCGCACCAGGTCCCGCTGCTCCTCCTCCGGGGCCCAGGCCCCGGGGCAGGGGCGGGAGGAGCCGGTCTGGGCCGAGGCCGGGAGGGCAGGCGGGACGCAGGCCCTGGGGTCCCCCCGCGGAAACAGGGCGGGGGTGGAGGCGGGCGGGAGCCCGGACCCCGGCGGCCGCCAGTGCGCGCGCCCGGCTGCGCGGCGCGGGGTGCGCGGCGCGGGGACCGCTCCGTCCAGACCCGGAGAAGCGGGGACGCAGCCGGGTCCACCGCCCTCCGCGCGGGCAGGCGCTGGCCCCGACCCCACTGGCCCGCTCCCGGCCCGGCCCGCCTCCCGCCGCCGGCCCGCAGGCCCCGCCCTGCGCCCGGCCCGCCCGCCCGCCTCCTCCCCGCCCCGAGCATCCCCCTCCGGCTGGGAGCCGCGGCCCGCCCGGCGCCCTCCTCCCCGACCGGGGCGCGCCGCGGGGCCAGGGCACCGCCACCCCCGGCTCCGTCCCCATCCCCCGCCCCCGAGCACCCTCCCGCCCCCGAGCACCCCCCCCGCCCCCGAGCACCCCCCCAACCCCGAGCACCCCCCCGCCCCCGAGCACCCCCCCGCCCCCGAGCACCCCCTCCCGCCCCCGAGCACCCCCCCCGCCCCCGAGCACCCCCCCCGCCCCCGAGCACCCCCCCGCCCCCGAGCACCCCCCCCCGCCCCCGAGCACCCCCTCCCGCCCCCGAGCACCCCCTCCCGCCCCCGAGCACCCCCCCGCCCCCGAGCACCCCCCCCGCCCCCGAGCACCCCCCCGCCCACGAGCACCCCCCCCCGCCCCCGAGCACCGCCTCCCGCCCCCGAGCACCCCCTCCCGCCCCCGAGCACCCCCCCCCGCCCCCGAGCACCCCCCCGAGCACCCCCTCCCGCCCCCGAGCACCCCCTCCCGCCCCCGAGCACCCCTCCCGCCCCCGAGCACCCCCCCCGCCCCCGAGCACCCCCCCGCCCCCGAGCACCCCCCCCGCCCCCGAGCACCCCCCCCCGCCCCCGAGCACCCCCCCGCCCCCGAGCACCCCCCCCCGCCCCCGAGCACCCCTCCCGCCCCCGAGCACCCCCCCCCGCCCCCGAGCACCCCTCCTCGCCCCCGAGCACCCCCTCCCGACCCCGAGCACCCCCCCCGCCCCCGAGCACCCCCCCCCGCCCCCGAGCACCCCCCCCCGCCCCCGAGCACCCCCCCGCCCCCGAGCACCCCCTCCCGCCGTCCTACCCTCCCAGTCCCCCCCCACTCTCCCCCTCCCTCCCGCCCCCCTCCCCGTCCCCATCCCCCCCGCGCCCCGTCCCCCGCGCTCCTGCCCCCTCCATCCCCCCCGCCCCCGAGCACCCCCTCCCGCCGTCCTCCCCCCCCCCCCCCTCCCGCCCGCCTCCCGCCCCCATCCCCCGCCCCCTCGCCCCCTCCCGCCCGGCTCGGGAGCGCGCTCACGAGGACGCGCGGCGGGAGCGGCCGTTGGGAGCGGCCCGCGGCGGGAGCGGCGCTCCGGGCCACGATGCGGCGGCTGCGGCGCCTGGCGCACCGGCTGCTCGTCCGGCCCTTCTCCCAGGGCCCGCAGGTGGGTGCGGGCGCGGTGCGGGCGGGGCCGTGCATGGGGTCCAGCAGGGAGGGGGCGGGGGCCGGGCCCAGGCCGCGGGGTGATGGCCGCGGAGGCCGGGCCGGGCGGGCAGTGAGGGCGGGGGAGGGGATGGGGGCCGCCGGCGCACCCGCTCCTGCGCTGGCGAGGCCCACCCTGGGGCTGCAGGCCCTGCGCCCCGAGGCCCAGACACCGCCCAGCCGCTCTGTGCCCGGGCACAGAAACGCCCCAGATGGGCCTCCCCCCTCCCCAGGCACCCCAGCCTGGATTCAGGGTGGGCCTGACCCCGGGCTGACCTTGGCCAGGCCCTGTCCTCCCAGGGCCTCCGTCTGCCGGCGAGGCCAGCCACGGAGGGGGGGGGGCAGCTGGGTGTGGAGGGGCTGTCACCTCTGCAGGGGTCCGAGCCCGCAGGCCAGCCCTGGCCCAGCCTCGGGGCCCAGCGGGAGGCGCCCTGTGGCCTCCTTGGCCTGGGGCCACGTCCCTAGCTGCTCCGTTTTGGGGAGAACCGTGGGATCCCTGGACCATGTGGGTTACACGTCTGTGCCCCCCCCCCCCGTGTCCTCCAGCCCCTCACCCTCCCCCCGTCCCCCGCGCCCCCCCTGCTCTGCCCAGCTCTGATGGAAGGCGGCCCAGGCCCTGCAGAGCCGATGGGGCACAGCGGCTAGAGGGGGAGGGACCGGGGTCCCCCTGGTCTGCGCCCGGCTCCGCCCGCCTCTGCCAGGGACACCCTCCCGGGCGGGCGGTAAGTGTGGGCAGCCCCCTGCGGGCAGCCCAGTGCTGGCCTGTCCCCTGAGCACCCTCTCCCCTCCCCCTTTCCCATGGCTGCTGCACAGGAGTGAGGCCGCCCCACCAGGGCTGCCTGGGTCCGCAGGAGGGTGGGGCGGGGCTGCCCCTGAGGAAGTGCCCATGGGCACGAGGACCTGGGTGGGTCCTAGTTGGCCAGAGGGGTCAGTGCACTGGCTGACGGGCACCTGGAGGGCAGGGTGGGGAGGGCTGTGCGGGACCCTGTGACGCCTGCCCCCCCAATCGGGGGTCCAGGCTGTCCTCCTGCGCCCCAGGACCCCGATGCTGAGCCCCCCAGCCCCGCCCAGTGGGAAGTCCCGGCAGCCACAGCGCCCCAGCTGCCCCCCCTTTCCTGTTTTCCTCCTGAACAAATCAGACGGAAACAGGCGCAGGGGCAGGGACCAGCGGCTGAGGCCCAGCCTCCTCACCCGCTCCAGGCCGCCCTTATCCCCCCGCTGCTCCTCAGTGGCCGCCAAGGCGCCCAGGCTGCCCCCTGAGCCTGCGAGGCCCTCCCGCTGCGGCCCTCCAGGAGGCTGCCGGGATGGAGGCCGCCAGGATGGAGGCCGCCGGGATGGAGGCCGCCGGGGTGGAGGCCGCCGGGGTGGAGGCCGCCGGGATGGAGGCTGCGGGGTGGAGGCCGCCGGGATGGAGGCTGCGGGGTGGAGGCCGCCGGGATGGAGGCTGCGGGGTGGAGGCCGCCAGGATGGAGGCCGCGGGATGGAGGCTGCGGGATGGAGGCCGCCGGGATGGAGGCTGCTGGGGTGGAGGCCGCCGGGATGGAGGCCGCGGGGATGGAGGCTGCTGGGGTGGAGGCCGCGGGATGGAGGCCGCCGTGCGGGGGAGGCAGCCAGGACCTGCCTCTCCAGCAAGAGCCAGAGACGCAGTTGTCCTGGTGGGAGCTGGTGCCCCCACGTCCCAGGGCAGCCCCACCCCCAGCTGACCAGGCCTGACCAGGACCCAGGACTCAGGACTGACCAGGACCAGGACTGACCAGGACCCAGGACTGACCAGGACTCAGGCCTGACCAGGACTGACCAGGACCAGGACCAGGACTGACCAGGACCAGGACTGACCAGGACCAGGACTAGGACTGACAGGACCAGGACTGACCAGGACCCAGGACTTAGGACTGACCAGGACCAGGACCGACCAGGACCAGGACTGACCAGGACCCAGGACTTAGGACTGACCAGGACCAGGACTGACCAGGACCGGGACTGACCAGGACCCAGGACTTAGGACTGACCAGGACCAGGACCAGGACTGACCAGGACCCAGGACTTAGGACTGACCAGGACCAGGACTGACCAGGACCGGGACTGACCAGGACCCAGGACTTAGGACTGACCAGGACCAGGACTGACCAGGACCAGGACTGACCGGGACTGACCAGGACCGGGACGGAAGCTGCTGTCCAGCTGCAGGGTTGGGGGCGTGGCCAGTGCTGGCAGTGGTGCCCCTTCCGAGGACAGGCTGGCCTATCAGATGATGCTTCTCTCTCATGTTCTTCTATCTCTATCCTTCTCCCCTCCCGTCTCTGAATATCAATGGAAACATATTTAAAAAAGAAAGAAAGAAAAATATCAGTAGGCTGCCCCTGCACGCCCCCTCCTGGGGATCAAGCCCACAACCCAGGCTGTGCCCCATCAGGAATCAAACTGGTGACCTGGTTCATGGGTCAACGCTCAGCCACGGAGCCACACGGAGCCACAAACCGCTGTGCCCGCTTCCCTCACGGACCATGTGGCAGCTCAGGGTCCCTCGGTTCTAAGGCGGGCGATACCCCCGCCTGGAGAGGCCCCATTGAGTCTGCCTGGTCTCCGGTCTCCGGTCTCCGGTCAGGGGCACTGGTTGTGCCCATTTGGCTGCTGGGAATGTGCTGCTGAGAGAGGGCGTGTGAGGCCGTCTCCACGGCTCAGGGCCCACTGTGAGGCCGGGCCCTGCCCTCTGCCCCGGCTCCTCAGAGGCCCGGGCTCCCTGCTGGCCCGGCCCCTCGGGAACTGCCCCGTTGGAGGGCAGCGTGCCCGCCTGGCGATCTCCAGCCCGCCCCTCAGAGTGACTGGGCAATGAGGGCAAGACAGAGGGAAACGTGTAAAAAATCTTTACTCGGGAAAACAGATCTGACTCCCGTGTCCCCCATTCTGAAACTGACTCTTTACCTGCCCGGGTTTTTATGTAAACATCTTTATTGCCTTGGTGGCTCCGTGGCTGAACGCCGACTGTGAACCTGGAGGTCACGGCTCGGTTCCCGGTCGGGGCCCAGGCCCGGGGTGCGGGCCTGATTCCCATTAGGGGGTGTGCAGGAGGCAGTCTGTCCGTGCTTCTCATCATTAGTGTTTCCATCTGTCCCTCTCCCTTCCTGCCTTCTGCACACCCCCGCCCGGGAATGGCGTTCAGCCACTGAGCCCTGCTGGCCGGGCTGCCCACGTAGTTACAGTAAAAGTCTGGGCACCTGCCCCCCACCAGGTGGGTGAAGTGGGGTGTGCAGATGGGGGGACCCCTGCGCATGCCTGGGCCGCCCGTGTTCCAGCCTGGAGCTGGGCAGGCCCGGGCTGGGGTCCATGAGGGGGTGACGCCCCCAAATGTGGCGCTTCCTCCCGTGTCCCCCCCACAGCAGGGCCGGCTCCCAGGCCTCAGGGTCAAGTTCGTCTTGCTGGTGTGGCTGGGCGTCTTTGCGGGCAGCTGGCTGGCCTACGTGAACTACGCGTCCTACACGGAGCTCTGCCGCGGGCACGTGTGCCAGGCGGTCATCGTAAGTGTCCCCGTGGCCTGGGCGTGGGCCCCGCCTTCCTCTGAGGCCCTGAGGGGGCCTGGGAGGGACCCTCTGGCTGGCGGAGGAGGAGGTGGGTGGCTGGCGGAGGGCGGGGCTGGGAGGCCCGGCAGGCACCTCGGAGAGCTCGCCAGTGCCCCGGATGGAAGGGCGGGCGGGCGGGCTCCAGAGGTTGGGGGGCAGGGGGGAGCGGGCGGATGTTGGTGACCGTGAGGGCCCAGCCGAGGTCTCAGAGGCTCCACGGCTTGTCGGGGCCACACCTGGAGGGCGGCCCGAGCTCAGGGATGGGCCCAGACTGCAGACGGGAACAGGCCTGGAGGACGCCCCGCCGCCCGGTGGCGCCTCTCGGAGCGGGTCCCCCCCCCCCCCCCCCGCCCCCGGTCCCGGGTTTGACGCACAGCAGACGCCTTGGGGTGGGGCCTCCCTCCAGGTGGGGATGGAGGGCGCGGTTTGGGGTTTTCTGTTTTCCCTCCCCAGCCAGGGCTGCCACAGCCAACACCACCCTCACGTGGAGTCCAGGCCTGGCTCTGTCCCGTCCTCCCTCCTCCCTGCTGGCTGGCACTGTGCTCCCTGCCTCTGCCTCCTCCGGGCCTGGGTTCCATGGCAACTGAGTGCACCTCAGCATCCACTCCGGGATCTCGCTGCAGAGGGAAGGGTGCCCGGCTCCGGCTCCCTCACCTCCCGCCCTGTTCTGGCCCAGGGCCCAGGTGGATCGATGCTGGGAGCGCCCCCTGTGGCCCTGGCTCAGGCGTGGGGGCTTGGAGGGGTGCAGGGCACAGACAGTCCGCAGCGGCGCTGGGAGAGCCTGCCGCCTCCAGAGGGCGAGGCAGCCCGACCACGTCCCCCAGCTGGCACGTGCCCGCGGCTGTGAGCTCTAACTGGGCACCTGGGCAGTGAGGGCGCTGAGCCCGGGGAAGCCAGCGCCCCGGGACGGAGGGATGGTGGCAGGGACAGATGCCAGTTCTGAGGGCGCAGTGGCCGGAGGCTCCCGGCTCCTGACGGCAGCATCGGGGCCTCTGAGGAGCGTGTGGCCCAGGAGGGGCCACGCCCAGGGGCACAGCACGTGAGGCGGGACTCAGGGCAGCGGGCGGGCGCCCCGAGCCCCGCCTCCCAGCCGCTCCGGCGTCGTCCTCCCAGTGTGACCAGTTCCACAAGGGCGTCATCTCGGGCTCCCTGTGCCAGGACCTGTGCCAGCTGCACAAGGTGGAGTGGACGGCCTGCCTGTCCTCCGTGCCCGGCCAGCAGGTGAGCCCGGGGCGTCGGGGCCTGGCTCGGAGGCCTGGTGCCGCGGGAGGGGCTTCCATACGGACCCTGTGCCGTCAGGTGTACAGTGGGCTCTGGCAGGGCAAGGAGGTGACCATCAAGTGCCGCGTTGAGGAGAGCCGGAGCGCCAAGGCCGGGCCGGAGGCGGCGCCCGGGCGGGAGCTGGTGCTGTTTGACAGGCCTGTCCGGGGCACCTCCATCCAGGAGTTCCGGGAGATGACCCTCAGCTTCCTCAAGGTCAGCGGCTCTGGTGGGGGCGTGTGCACAGGCCTGGGGGCCAGGCTTCTGGCGGGCCCAGCTCCCAGCATCAGGATCGCCCACGAGGCCGGGAGCACCCTGCTCCCGGGGTGTCGGCAGGGAGAGCTGGGTGAGCACGGGAGGTGGGGTCAGAGCCCTGCCGGGCAGGCTCTCACCTCCGTGCGGAGGTGCCCACCCACAGCCCGAGCCCTGGTGGAGATATGGGGACCCCGTCCTCGGGGGAGCAGCTCCTGAGAGATGCTGGTGGGCGAGCAGTCCGGGCGGGCTTCCAGGAGGCGGCAGTCGGACGCTGGGCTCCTCTAGGCTGTTGGACGTGCTGGGTCCCGGGTGCAGCCCACCCACCCAGCCAGCCCCCCGGGCACCTGAGGGCCTGGCACCCACCGGGGCCGGCGTCCTGCGGCCTCAGCCACGCCCTGGCTCTGAACCGCCGCCCCCTCTGGTCTGACCCCACCCTCAGGCGAACCTGGGAGACCTGCCCTCGCTGCCGGCGCTGGTGGGGCAGGTGCTGGCCGTGGCCGACGTCAACAAGGACGGCCGCGTGTCGCTGGCCGAGGCCAAGGCGGCGTGGGCCCTGCTGCAGGGCAACGAGTTCCTGCTGCTGCTGTCGCTGCGGGACAAGGAGCATGCCGCGCGGCTGCTGGGCTTCTGCGGGGACCTGTACGTCACCGAGGGCGCGCCGCCCGGCTCCTGGCACGGGGCGGCGCCCCTGCTGCGCCCGCTGCTGCCGCCCGCCCTGCACCGCGCCCTGCAGCAGTGGCTGGGCCCGCCGTGGCCGTGGCGCGCCAAGGTGGCCATCGGCCTGCTGGAGTTCGTGGAGGAGCTTTTCCACGGCGCCTACGGCACCTTCTACATGTGCGAGACCACGCTGGCCAACGTGGGCTACACGGCCACCTACGACTTCCGCATGGCCGACCTGCGGCAGGTGGCGCCCGAGGCCGCCGTGCGCCGCTTCCTGCGCGGCCGCCGCTGCGCGCACAGCGCCGACTGCACCTACGGGCGCGACTGCCGGGCGCCCTGCGACCAGCTGCTGCGCCAGTGCAAGGGCGACCTCCTGCAGCCCAACCTGGCCAAGGTGTGCGAGCTGCTGCGGGACTACCTGCTGCCCGGCGCCCCCGGCGCGCTGCGTGGCGAGCTGGGCCGCCAGCTCAGCACCTGCGCCACGCTCAGCGGGCTGGCCAGCCAGGTGGAGGCCCACCACTCGCTGGTGCTGAGCCACCTCAAGACGCTGCTGTGGACCACCATCTCCAACACCAAGTACTCCTGACCCCGCCACTGCCCGCCCACCGAGCCGGGCTCCAGCCGGGGCGCCCCCCCCAGGGCTGCAGCCGCCCGGCCACGCTGCATGCCCATCGCCTGTCACCGGACAAAGGCACGGCCGCAGGCTGGGCCGGGCTGCTGTGTCCAGCCCAGTGGCCCTCTCACTGACCCTCCTTCCCCAGCTCCAGCCGCCCAGGTGGGAGGACTGTCTAGCAGGAACGAGGGGCTGCACCCGCCCTGGCAGAGTTGGGTTTTGTCACTCTGATCACTTGATGTAAATAAATAGGTTTTCTGTGAGTGCTCAGTTCTCTCCTTGCCCTGGCCCCAGCCCCCTGCCATCCAGGCCACCCCTGGCAGCCTGGCCTGCCTCTGCCTCCTGCACGGAACAGTCCAATTCAAGGTCTGTCTGGTCCACTTTTTAAAAATATATATTTTAATTTTTTTTTACAGAGGTAGAGAGCGCGAGAGCTAGAAACATTGATAAATAATTGATCAGCTGCCTCTTACACGCTCCCCACCGGGGATGTGCCTGCAACCAAGGACTGGACTGCCCTTGACTGGAATCGAACCTGGGACCCTTCAATCTGCAGGCCACTCTTAAGAGCCGGCCCTGGGGAATTACCTGGGATGAGGGGATGACAGGATGCTGGAGGCAGAACTTCCTTGTCAGTCCCTGCCCCCACCTGGATGGGGGCACTAACACGTGTTCCTAGTGCTAACCCTCCCTCACCCCAGACACCCTGTATTCCACGTGGCTCCCTGTTGGAATGGAGTCCACCGCGTAGGACTGGGATCAGGGCTGTTACGAGGTTCCGCCACTTAGACGTGAATTTTTAAAAATTTTATTTCAGAAATAGAAATGTCAATGAGAATCATTGAACCCCCCCTCCCCCCCCCCCACCACACACACACACACACACACACACTGGGGATCAAACCTGCCACCTGACTGGGAATCTAACTGTGGCCTCCAGGATCGCAGATTGACATCAACCACTGAGCCACGTTGGCCGGGCTAGATGTGCATTTCCAACAATAGACTACTGGAAATTTTGATTTTCCAATTTAAAAAAATATATATTTGATTTTTTTACAGAGAGGAAGGGAGAGGGACAGAGCTAGAAAAATCAATGAGAAACATCAACCGGCTGCCTCCTGCACCACCCCAATGGGGATGTGCCCGCAGCCCAGGTACATGCCCTTGACCGGAATCAAACATGGGACTGGACAGGGTCAGGCCAGGAAGCGGCACAGGACTGGGCAGGAGACGGGCTTGAGCAGGACGCCCAGTGCTGCCTTCAGTCTGGAAGGACCTGGCCTGAGGGTCAGACTGCAGTGCCCTGGCCACCCAGAACCTGTGAGTGGAGTGGTATGGTGGCCGACTAGCCTCTCTGGATCCACGAGGCACAGGGCGCGGAGGGGGGAGTGGTCAGGAAGCCCAGCTGCCCTCCAGGACCCACCACCCGAGTGAACCCGCCTCGCCAGCAAGCTTGTCTGGTGCTTGGCTGTCCCTGCCATCCCAACCGGCAGCCTGTCCTTCCACAGGCACGGTGACACCTCACTGAAACTGGCCAGAGGCCCTCACACGGAGACCAAACACGGGACGTCCCCCCAACGAGAGAACCATCACCCCTGAGGCTCCTCCGCTCACTGGACCAGTCCCTGTGACCAGGCGTGTTTATTGGAGGCGGAGTCACCCAGCACAGCGCCACCTTCGCCAAGACAGTGCCAATAGCAGCCCTTGCCACCTTTCAACGTGTATGGGGGCCTCCGGGCTCCTGGGCCTGGGCCGGCAGCACAGGTGCCCCCGCCATGCAGTGAGCCGGGCCAGCAGCAGCCCCATCTGTAAAGAAAACCAGATTCTGAGGACCCCGCAGTGCGCCCCGTGGTGGGCCACCCCCCGCCCTCTGTGGCAGCAACAGGGTTCAAGGGGCCTGTTATCAAAAGCCCCTCCCACACCTGGACCAAGGGCCACAGGGCCAGGACCACGCTTCCTGCCCCTCCCAGAGGCACCGTGTGCTGTGGGGGTGGCCAGAGCCTGCACCTCGAAAACCCCGCCAGGCCACTCCTACCCTCAGCGACCGTGGGCGAGTCCTCGCGCTCCTAAAGGATGGAGCTCCCGGGCAGCCTGCCCCGCCGGCAGGAACTGACCGCCGTGCGGGCAGGTGAGCGAGGACTGTGACGGTGACCACCTCGCCAGCAACGGGAGCTCGGCCTCCGGAGGTCAAGGGGCCCTCACTGCCAGCCCCCAAATCCCCCTCCCCACAAGGCCACCCTGTGCCCCCCCCCATGTGCGCTGGGTGGAGGGCCACACAGTCACCCCACAGGGAACACCGCGGGAAGGAGATAAAGTCTCACCAGACTGGAACGGGGGGTCCTCGCCGTGAGCGAGTGGCTCCATCTTGTCCGGCTGCCACAGCAGCTCCCACCTGCAGAGGGACCAGGACAGGGGTGACCCACAGCCCCCTCCCTGGGACGAGGGTCCACGTGGGGCCCGATACTGGGAGCAGACCTCTGGCACCCCCATCCCGCCCCCTAGAGCGCTCTGCTGGCCTCGGTGGGCGCTCACCTGCCAGGTGGCTGACCACCCACCCAGGGCCAGGGCGGGCCCAGCCCCGGGAACCTCGGGCAGGAGCCGCGGAGGGGCCCGCCGGCATGTCAGGCTACAAACCATTCCCAGTGCCCACTGCTCGGGGCGCTGAGCGTAGAAATAGCCCCTTCCTCTGCGCCCTGGATCGCCACGGGTGCGGCACGGCAGCCCGGGTGCCGGCAGGTCCCGCACCCGCAGGGCGCCCCCCCCCACCCCAGGCGGCGCCCGGCTCCGTGTCTGCGGGGCCCGGGGAGAGCGCAGCGGGGGCCCTGCTTTCAGGAGGCCGCACCCCCAGAGCCCCCACCGGAGGGAGGGGAGGGTCTCGCACAGGACGCCGGTCCTCGGGGACCCAGGCCCGCCTCGCGGGGGCTCCCCCTCCGATCTCCAGGGGGCGGCCGGCCCCGGGCGCACAGCCCGGCTTCGCTGTGAGGCGGAGCCAGCGGCAGCGGGGCGCCCCCAAGGGTGCCGCCCCCGCCCCCGCGCAGGGAGCCCGCCCCCCGCCCCCTCCGGAGCCGGGGGTGGAGGACCGTCACCGGCCCCCCCCCCAGGCGGCGCCCCCGCCAGGCGCCAACCACCCAGGCGCCCGCCCGCGCCCCGCCCAGCAGGATGGGCCCCGCCCGGCCCGGGACCCCCGAGCCCGGGACCCGGCAGGCGGGCTCCGGGGGGGGGGGTCCCGCGCAGGGAGGGGGGCGGGCGGGGGGCCGGGGGGCGGCACTGACCCGGGCCCCGGCCGCCCCGCCTCCTCCCGCGGCGCCCCCCGGAGGCTCCGGACCCGCGGGCACGGCGGCGGGTGCAGCCGGAGCCTCGGACCCCGGGCCGAACGGACCGGCCGCTGACTCACCTCCGCGCCGCTCCCGCCGCCGGAAAGACCGCGAGACCGCGAGCCGCGCCCTTTATAGCGCGGACGGCGGCCCGCGAGGCCCAAGCCCGCCCGCCGGTCCCCGCCGCCGCCGCAGCGCCCCCTGGCGGGCCCTCCCGTCCCCGCCCCGCGGGCCGGGACTCCCTCCCTTCAGCCTGGGATTGGGTTGAGGTTGCAGGGCTCCAGAGGGTAAGACCTGCAAAATAGGGTCCGGGCACCCTGCCTCCCAGCACCCAGGCCTCCAGACCTGCCTCCCGGGCCCCCAGGCCTGCCTCCTGGGCCCCCAGGCCTGCCTCCCGAGCACCCAGACCTGCCTCCCCTGCACCCTGGCCTGCCTCCCAGCACCCAGGCCTCCAGACCTGCCTCCTGGACCCCCAGACCTACCTCCCCTGCACCAGACCTGCCTCCCGGACCCCCAGACCTGCCTCCTGGGTCCCCAGACCTGCCTCCTGGGCCGGCCATTTGGGCCGAAGTCTGGGCAGCACATTAGCCACCTGGCCTTGGGCAGGGGGTGCCTCCCTGGGGAACTGCAGTGCAGAGAGACGGAAGGGGCCTGACTTGGAGGTGTTAACATAAAAAACAACAACATTGAAACCTGTGAAGAAATTTTGTGAGTTTATTTGAGCCAAACTGTCGACATAAGCCAGGAAACAGAACCTCAATGAATTGAGATAATGCTCCAGAGAATGGCGGGTTACATTTGTATTTAGACATTGCAATCAAAGGAGGGACAGAGGTGGGTGACATGAAATTCATTGGTGATGGAGTAAGGAGGCGGGAGAAAGCAGAGCGGTGGGAAACTCCTGGGACTGGATAAAAAGTACAATGATGGAAGCATACTCAGGTGAGCGCAGGAACAATTGACATGATAAGGAGGGAATTTGAGGCATCTGTCCTGCGGCCCTCCACATCTGGTGGTGCCCCAGGGGCTCCAGAAAAAGGGAAGTTAGAAGTTACCCAGACTTCTCACTGGTATGTTATCTTAGAGGTGGACTGACCGGCTCAGTAAAGATCTAAGTTGATCTTTGTCAGGGAAAATATTGGCCTGGGACTATGACTGCTCACCATAACCTGTTTGTAGTTAAATATTTAATTTTCGGACCATTCTTTGTGGTGACTTTCGGTCTCTGAGTTCCCAAGACTGCCACGCAGGCCCCCTGAGCTGGTCAGGTCAGCACGTGGCTCCTTTGGTCCACAGAGGGGACGCTCGGGCTGGCTGGGTTGGGGGAAGGACTCCCCTTCCTTCCCTCCCACCGGCCTGGGAGCGGGGTCCCAGCGAGAGGGGCCATTGGGAAGCTGCAGATCTAATTCTCCAACATGGAGAAGTTTCTAGAACTCTGCAGAGGACCCTGGGCCCTCCCAGGACTGGCCAAGGCTGCAGGGGTCCGTGCTGCACCCTCTTGTCCTGTCCCCACCCGTTCCGGGCTCCCAGACACTGGCCACACTGGTGACTTGGGTGCCGGTGGGTGGGAGCCTGGGGCTCCTTGTCCTGCTGGGACCAGGGGAGCGCGGACAGTGGCGGGACACCCCCTTTTTGAGCAGTTCCCGGGCAGCAGGGCCGTGTCCCCTGGCCCATCACTCCCAGGAGCTCAGCGAGGTGGCTCCAGCCTGTGGGAGCCCCTGGGGGTGCTTGCCTGCTGAGGGTGCCCAGCAGCATGGGAAGGACCAGGCCCCGCAGCTGGGGAGGGCGGGAGCTGGGGTTCAGGCCGTTCCTATGGGCTTCACCGCACCTTTGACCTTTGCTAATATTGCCCAGTGAATGCGCTGATCACAGCCAGCTGCCTGTGTGACCTCATGAGCAACAGGCGTGTAGCTTCCTCCACCATGGACGGGCCTCATACAAAAACCAGCTGCGCCAGGACGTGGACGGGAAGGAAGGAGCGCGCTGGCGGGGATACGCAGGGTCTAAGGTTCGGGACCTCGGTGCGGGCGGCAGGCCTCTCTGACTGCTCCTCCCTCTTCCCCGGGGAGCACAGCCAAGGCCACGGTCTCCACTGAGGACGTCAGGATTGGGGGCTCCTGTGCAGCGCCCCCAGGCGGCAGGAACACCCGTGTCCTGGTCCCGGGCTCAGCCGCCAGGAGAGGACAGTCACTGACACGGGGGCCGGCCCTGCCTCTGAGTCCGTGTGTCTGGGCTCAGGGTCTTGGAGTCCCTGCAGGTTCTGGGGAGAGAGGACTAGGAGGCTGGCAAAGAAGGTCCCCTAGGCTCTCAGTGTCTCTCATTCCAAAGCAGCACCCCCGGGAGGGTGGAGACCTGGCCGAGACCTGCCCACCACCCCGCACCCGCTGCCCTGCCTCAGTTTCCCAACCGTCCCCCGAGGGCTGCATGTGTAGAGCCTCAGCTCAGCTCGGCGTGGACACGGGGGCACCATAGCTGTGAGTGCGGCCACAGCGTTGGGACAGGTTCGAGCCTCGGGCTGATGAGGGCACAGTCCTCCCGGCCACGTGCAAGGCCCAGTGTGGAGGGCGGAGCCTCCCAGCACCGTGATGGCCGCCAGCTGTGGTTGTGAGCGTGAACCTGTGGTCCGAACACGTGGCCCCACCGCCTGAGCGAGAGGCCGCGGGAAACAGCTGGGTCAGGTGGTGCAGTGGGTGAGACCCAGAGAACGCTGTGCCATCTGGCCCGCCCCCCCGTGCCGCGTGGCAGCGGCTGTGAAATGAAGACACGGCTTGTGGTCCGTGGCGCTGGCTCTCCCCGAGAGGGCAGCGTCCCACCGAGACCCAGCTTCATTCTCGTCTGTCTTTTCTGATCCATCACCGCCCCCTCAGGGCCCCCGAACCTGGCTGGTTGGCAGCACATAGGCACTGGGGCCAGCTCCCCACAGCGGGGCACCCCACCCGGGGGTGGAGGTGGGGGTGGGGTGCACGAACCTCTCTTGGGGACACGGGGGGGCCCAGGCGGCTCCCACAGGAGACAATTAGGCGTGGCCCACAGTTGGGGGCCCATGTGACCCCCCTTCAATGTGCACATGCTCCTTCCCAACGGCAACACAGCTACGGCGCCCCCAAACAGGCTGGTCCCGTGTCCCGGTCCAAGCCACGTGCTCTGTACCCCCTCATCCATGGGGGCGTTTGGAGGGCCCTGGATCCTGGGCCTCGTCCTGTGCGCCGTGGGGTGGAGGACGTGTGGGGCGACCGTGTCCCCGGAGCTCTGGGCCGGGCATCGTAGTCCACACATGTGAAGGCGTGTCCACGTCTCCACGTGGCCGGGGCTGGAGTGACTGACTTCGGGGCCCGAGGAGCCACCTCCTTCCTGCGAGCTGGCTCCGTGGGGGCGTGTCTGTGCCGGGCCTTTGTCCAGGATCCGTGACCTTTGTCCAGGGCCTTTGTCACGCTGGATCCGTGACCTCCCCGTGGACAGGGACCCTGTGGCGAGCCGCCCGGAGGTCAGAGCTGACCCAGGTCCCCCCAGGAGCCCCGTGCTGCCGCCACTGGCACCTGTGGAGACACCCACCTGTGTCCCCTCTGTGATGACTGGTGGGGGGCACACTTGTGTCCCCTCTGTGGTGATGGGCTGGTCAGGGGGCACACACCTGTGTACCCCCTGCGGTGATGGCCTTGTCGGGGGGCACACATCTGTGTCCCCTCTGTGATGATTGGTGGGGGGCACACCTGTGTCCCCTCTGTGGTGATGGCCTGGTGGGGCACACACACCTGTGTCCCCTTTGTGGTGATGGCCAGGTCGAGGGGCACACATCTGTGTCCCCTCTGCTGTGATGGGCTGGTGGGGGGCACACCTGTGTCCCCTCTGCGGTGATGACTGGTGGCGTGCGCACACGTGTCCCCCCTTCTGTGATGGCCTGGTTGTCACACCTGTAGTTCGTTGTATGCGCCACTCCAGCCCCAGGGACACGTGGGCTCTGAGGGAGCCTTCTGCCCTGGGTTGGGGGTGCAGGTAAGAGGGCAGGGAGGGTCAGGGCTGGTGCAGGAGGCAGCCACTGCGGTCTCTCCCCCCTCCCTAGAGACCAATGGGAAATGCACCCGAGGAGGAACTAAAGCCGCCGTTTGCCGCCCTGCCGACTAATGAGTTTGCCGACCGCCGTTAGACTAAACGTTACCTACCGTGTGGTTGGAAGCTGAGGGTTAGGCAACTGTGGCATGTTTTGTGCAAAGAGGTAAAGTGGTCGGCAAACTTATTAGTCAACAGCGGCTTGAGAAGTGCATGTGGCTTGCAAACCACGGTTTGCCAACCACTGAACTAAAGGAACAAAAACCCGAATGGGAAACCCCACGTGGAAAGGCTGAACCCTTCGTTCTGGCTGAGGGTCACTCGTGGGGCCTGGGGCGCTTTTCGCTGAGTGTGCCACATTGTGGTGACCAGCCGTGTTGGACAGAGGGAGGGGGGTTCAGAATCACACGCCCGAGACGCTCCCAGCATGCCCTGGGCCAGCGCTCCTCCTGGGCCTCAGTCACCTCCTGGGGAAGTGGGGCTGGGACCCGGAGCGGGAGGGGGCGTGGGCGTGAGCGCAGCGCTGCCTTCAGGCACACGTGCCCCTTTAGCTGTGGCCGGCAGTGCCCGCATTTCCCCCTTAGCTGGGGAATGTGGGGGCCGATCATGGAGCAGAGCCCTCCCCCCTCTCCCCCCTGCTCCCCCACCTGAGCCCTGAGTCCCCCCCTGCGTGCCTACTGCCTCGTGCAGCTCCTCCTGGTACCCACGGCGCCTGGTCCCCTCGCACACTTTCCAGGTCTCGGGGGGACGTCTGCACTGGGGGGGCCTGGCTGACCGAACAGCCGGGCCGGGGCCGCTGGGATTCGGAAACACTGCCCGTGGGACCCTCACGCCAAGCACCCGCCTCCGGGCGGAAGCCATTCCCGGACAGGCGTGCTGCCCGCGGGGCCCTGCTGGCCTCTGTGCGCCTGCGGGCCGCCAGGAGGGGAACACTCGGACTCCGGACCATCAGGCTTTATTCAGGAGGGGGGACCGGTCACAGCGGAGGGCCCCTCCCGGCCCTGCAGCCGGTACAGGGCCTCTACCTGCCGGCGCTTGTCCTTGGCGCGGCGGACCGCGGTGCGGAAGAGCCGGCAGAAGAGCTCGACGGCGGGCGGCGAGTCGTCGTTGCCGGGCACGGGGTAGGTGAGCAGGCAGGGGTTGCAGTTGGTGTCCACGACGCCCACGGTGGGGATGTTCATCTTGGCGGCGTCGCGCACGGCCACGTGGGGCTCGAACACGTTGTTGAGCGTGTGCAGGAAGACCACGAGGTCGGGCAGGCGCGCGCCGGGGCCCAGCAGCAGCGGCGCGTTGGTCAGCAGGCCGCCCTTGAAGTAGCGGGTGTGGGCGTACTCCCCGCAGTCGCGGGCCGTGTTCTCCACCAGGTGGCAGAACTGCCGGTGGCGGCTCACAAACAGGATGATGCCCCCGCGGAAGGCCACGTGAGCCGTGAAGTTCAAGGCCAGCTGCAGGTGCGCCGCCGTCTGCTCCAGGTCGATGATGTCCTGGCCCAGGCGGCTCCCGAAGATGTAGGGCTCCATGAACCTGCGGGAGACACCCCGCCTCCCGTGGTGAGCGGGGGGGGGCCCCCCTCCCAGGCGTGACGGCGGGAAACCTGCCCCTCGTCCCCGGGGGCCCCAACAGCTCCTCCTCCTCCTCCTCGGCTGCCTGGACGGTTAAACCGCAGCGTGCCCTGCTCCCTGCTGCTCCCGTCGCAGCCCCTTCTGGCATCCTCGCTTTGTACTGATGTCAGGGAGGGCGGGGGAGGAGGAGGGAGAGAGATGGGAGCATCAATGAGAGTCATCGATCGATCGGCTGCCACACTGGGGATGGAGCCCGCAACCCGGGCATGTGCCCAGGAACTGAACTGTGACCTCCTGGTTCATAGGTCAACGCTCAGCCACGGAGCCCGCCGGCGGGCTGTCATCATTGTCCTTGAGGCTTGATGGCCGAGGTCCTGCTGGTGGGGCTGGGCCGAGGGGCCCACTGCGGTGTGAGGGGTCGAGACAGGAGCCAGCCAGGCCTGGGGGGACCCGAGGGCAGAGGGCCAGTGGGCAGGACAGACGTCACCCCTCAGCTCCACTTCTGCTCACGCCCACCTGGCCCTGTCCCTTCCTCTCAGCAGACTCTGCCCAAGGCCCCCCGGCCCGCCTCACCCTCGCCCCCCACACTGTGCAGCAGCTCCCCCTGCAGCCGCCCCCTGCCCGCCGGCCCAGGATGCTCCTCCCAGCACCCCCGTGACAGTGCCCTGGGTGACCAAGGTGCCACCCTTCACGGTACCCAAGCTCCTGAGGGCCCCAGGCCTCCCGGGGTCTGATCATCCTGGCAGAGGCCACCGACGCTGTGCTCTGCCCCCGACCCCACCTCGGACCCCAAACCCTGGACCCCGGCTCTGCCCCCCACCTCACATCCACGTGTTCTAAACCTCCTGCCCGGGGGTCAGCCCGTGACACCCCTTTGGGTGCTGGGTCTGAGGGGCGCAGGGATGCCACCCGAAGAGGGAGGGGTTGCCCTCAGGCTGGCCGGGGGCGCCCACCTGTGCCGGCAGCCGGCCTTGTGGCCCAGGTGCACGCGGGCGTCGAAGAGGCTGCGCACGGAGAACAGCTCCCGGACGCTGAAGAAGTCCGGGTGCCGGAGGGGCTCGCTGAGGACGCGGTCCCGGGGGTCTGGGGGGAGGGACAGGGTGCTGGGTCCCCTCGGCGGTGCCGCGGCCCCTGGTTGCCGGGTCCTTAGGGCCCCTCCAGGGCCGCAGGCCCGCCCCCGAGGGAGCCCAGCCGCCTGGGGGGCCCTAAGGACAGCCAGGCCCGTCTCCCCGGGGCTCGGACCCCCCGGGCTGCACAGCCAGAGGCCCCGGCGCCGGCCGAGTCCAGCCCAAACCGGAGCCCCGCGCCCGGCCGCCCGCGCCCCGCGCCCGGCCGCCCCGCCCCGCACCTGCCAGGCCGCCGCCGCCCGCGGGCTCGCTCTGGGCGGCGGGCGCGGCGCTCCCCAGCGTCCTGCCGCGCGGCCCGGCGGGCCCCGGGGTCGCCGCCCGGAGGACGTGCAGCCCGAGCGGCCGGGGCCACGCACCTGCGGAGAGAGGGGCGCGGGTTCAAGGCGCGGCCTCCCTCCCCCCCCCAGTCTCCACGCGGCGGCCGGGCCGGGGCCCGGGGCGGGCAGGGCCGGGGGCGGGGGCCCGGGTGGAGGAGCCCGCGGGGCGGCGGCCCACGGGAGGCGACCCCGCGGGGCGGGGGCCGTGAGGCGGGGCGGGGGCCGTGAGGCGGGGCGGGGGCCGGGCGCTCTCACCCGCGCTCAGCAGCCGCGGCAGGGCGGGCGCCATGGTGCGGAGGAGGCGAGCGCGGGCCAGAGCGGCCTCCTCTCCCGCCGCGGCCGCCCGCCGCCTGCAGGCCGGGAGGGGGCACTGCACCCCGCGCCCGCCCCCTGCAGGCCGGGAGGGGGAACTGCACCCCGCGCCGCGCTCCCCGGGCCCCGCCGGCTCCGGGCGGCTCTGCGCGCCCTGCCCGAGCCCCGGGCCGTGCAGCCGGGCCTCCCCATCGGCCGCTCTTAGATGCGCTCGGCTTGGGGCTCCCGGCCCTTAGGGGACCTGGGGCCGACAGGCAGGCTCTGGGCGCCGTGGGGCGCCACCTCGCGGGCCCTGCGGGCAGCGGGCCTGGCGGGGCCGGAAGCCCCGCGGCGGCAGCCTTCCCGGCCTTTGGACCAGGACCCGGCGCTGCGCCCCCTCTCCCGGCCTCGGGGGCCCGGCGTGCTCGCCCCGAAGGTTCTAGACCTCGAGCTTCAGCCTCTCGGGTCGGCAGGGGCGCGGCGCCTTTAAGGACCCGACCCACCCAGTCAGGTGACCAAGCCGTCGCTCAGCAACGGGACGCCACGCGATCCTGGTGGCGCGGGCTGCGGGGAGGCTGTGCCGGGCCTTTCTCCCCCGTGGGCGGCGGGATGTCCCGGGAGAGCCCCGGAGAGTGCGCGGGGCCCGTGGGGCCTGTGGTGTGTGCGGAGCCCGTGGGGCCTGTGGTGTGTGCGGAGCCCGTGGGGCGCGCGGGGCCCGTGGGGCGTGTGGCGTGTGCGGAGCCCGTGGGGCGCGCGGGGCCCGTGGGGCGTGGGGCGTGTGCGGAGCCCGTGGGGCGCGCGGAGCCCGGGGGGCCTGTGGTGTGTGCGGAGCCCGTGGGGCGTGTGGCGTGCGCGGAGCCCGTGGAGCCCGTGGGGCGCGCGGAGCCCGTGGGGCCCGGGGGGCCTGTGGTGTGTGCGGAGCCCGTGGAGCCCGTGGGGCGCGCGGAGCCCGTGGGGTCCGTGGGGTGCGCGGAGCCCGTGGGGCCTGTGGTGTGTGCGGAGCCCGTGGGGCCCGCGGCCCAGGCCCCGATGGAGAAAACCAGCGACTACTACCGCGTGGACGAGGACTTGCCGGCGAGGTTCAACCACCCGGCGTGCTTCCGGGGCTACAGGTGGGGGTTCCCTTCCCAGCCCGCGGCCCTGCGTCCGCTCAGATAGTCCTGCGGGAGCCCCGGGCCCAGCCGCCTGGCAAGAGCGAGGTCAGCTCTGCACCCAACTGCCTGGGGCTGCCAGCTGGGGACCCGTGCCAGTGGGTCCAGCTGCAGTGGGGACCGAACCCCGCGGGAGCCCTGAAGCCCTGGTTTGAAGCTGGGGGTGGGGGGGAGGGCTGAGCGGAGCCTGGAGGGTGTGAACCCGGCCGCCACCGGCGAGGCCAGCGGATCGGTGGCTGCGGCTGTTTTGGTGCAACCGCTACCCCCTTCACCCCTCCATCCCGCTGGGCAGTGATGCGAAGGTGTGCACGCTCAGTCCCCCCTCCATCCCCCAGAGGGATCTGTTCTCCTCCCCTTCCGGGAGAGCACTGGGAGGGCGGGAAGATCGCCGGAGCCCCACAGCCCAGGGTCAGAAGTCAGCTGCTCTGTTAGTAGAGTTGGTACCAGGGACTGCAGGCATCTTCTCAGGAGGCAGGAGTGGAGGGACCCCCCTCCTCTGGAGGCGGAGCCACACAGCTCCAGGCCTACCGCCACGCAGGAAACAGCCACGTGTGCCTGCGACGGGAAGTTCTCTGGCTTTTCTCTGCGAAGGGCAGGGCCGAGGTGGCCAGAGGGCCCAGGAGGCCGAGCCTGCAGGCCCGGGAGCCCACATCTCCAGCCGGGGGCATGTCCCACAGGCGCCCTCCACCGGACCGTGAAGGCGCTCGGGCAAGGCTGTAACAGAGGGTCTGTCCCCGCAGGAGGACCAAGGAGCCGGCCTCGGTGTACATGACCAGTAACCAGGCCTACGGGAGCCGAGCGCCCACCGTGCACGAGATGCCGGTGAGCTGGGAGGCCCCGGAGCTGCTGGAGGAGCGGGAGGGAATGAAGCTGCTCGCCCTGAGCCCGGGCGGTGAAATTGCTCAAGAGTACTTGCCCCCGGTGCCGCGGGGCCGGCCCCATTCAGACACACACACACACAGACACACGCATACGTGCACACACACACAGAGACACACACACGCACACACACACAGACATGCACACGCACACATGCAGACACACACACGCAGACACAGACACACGCATACACACGCAGACATGCACACACACACACAGACACACACACACATGCAGACATACACGCAGACACACACGCAGACACGTGCACACGCAGACATGCACACACACCTGCACATGCACACACTCCTGTGCATGGAGGCTGTCCGTTCTGAGGCAAAAAAGCACAGATTGTAAACCAGGAAGTGGGGGTGGCGTGGGGCGGGCCCCAGGTCAGGACTGGCAGCCACACGCAGGGCCCGGCCACACGCAGGCCCGGAGCTGACCCCGGTGTGACGGTGGGAGGCGGCACACTGGTCCTTGTCCTCACTGGCCTCGCTGCTTCCTAAGAACAGAGATTCTTTTTCTCCCAAAATACCCGATGGCGGGCCGGTAAGAGTGCCCCGCGCACCGCTGTGTCCCCTTTGCCCTTTCAGAAAGTGTTCTACGCAAGTTCGAACAGCTTCTCCAGGCAGCTGGCAGCTGCTGGAATGTTCCGGAACACTTCCTTGAACGTCCACGTGGAGAAGAGCAACGTGATGGGCGCCGACAACTGGATCACCTCCTTCGACCGGCTGAACTTCCACCCCAGCTACAACGTGCGCCGGCCCTCCATCTGCAACGACTGAGCCCCCCCCCCCCAGACCCTCCCCCCAGACGCCTCTCCTGTGTGATGGCCCCTTCCCGTCTACCGCTGGGCCGGGAGGGCGGCTGCCTTGTCTTTGCATTAAAACGTTGCCCCATCCCGAGTGCCGGCTCACTGGGGTCGCGGGCAGGTCGGCGGGCGTGGGGGGGGCGTTGCCCTGGACGTCCCCCATGTCTCTGTTGGGGGCCCTGTTCCTGCTCACGGGGCTCTGCTGTGCGGGGAGGGTCCCCGCGGGGGCGGGGCCAGGGAGCGGCCGCAGAATCCTCTGGAAATCGCCAGGCAGGAGGGCCGTGTGGGTCCCTGAGCCTCAGACAGACTCGGGTTCCCGCCAGCACCCTGCCACGGGGAGCCGGCGGGCGGCCGATGACGGGACGCAGTGGGCGTGTGCTCGTGGCCGGCAGGCAGGTGCCCACAGGCGAGTTCTTGTCTTCGTGTTCATTTAACTTTTCAATAAAAAGTGAAAAGCCCCAAACCAGGCGGGCAGGGAATAGGTTCCCTCCGGAGGGAGTGGACGCAGCGGCAGGTTTATCTGGGTGGCCGGTCCTCGGCCAGGGTCCCGGCAGCTGGGGTCCTCAGTGAGAAAGCCTCATGGCGGCCCCGGGGACCCCGCCTTTAGGGGGAACCCCGCCTTTAGGAGATGCGCTCCTCATAGGGGAGACCGGACAGAAGCAGCCGCAGCGCCTCTCGGGCGACTTTCCCCCAGAGAGAGTCGACTCGCCCGGGATCTGGGAGGACATGGACCTCAGTTTATTCACCTTGGTGATCGGCACCTGAAGTGAGCGTCTTGGCAGCCCCCGCGTGTCCAGTTAGGGACAACGTGGTGTCCAAAGAGAGCCAGGACACTTAATCAGAAGGGGCAGCCTGAGCCTGGCCGCCTGGCTCAGTGGTGGGAGCGTCGGTCACGCAGCGAGGGTCACAGGTTCAATTCCCGATCAGATTCGAGGGGCCGTCCCTGGGCTGCAGCCTCGATCCTAAGGGGCCATGTGGGACCTGCCTCTCACATTGATCTCTCCCTCTCGCCCCCTCCCTTCCACTCTCTGAAAATCAACGGGAAAAACAGAAATAGCTCTGGATGAGGATTAACAAAGAAGAGAAAAAAGGAATAAAACGACACAGAGCTCCTGAAGCCGGGACCCTCGTGGGCCGAGCTGGGACACCCCCGACCCCAGGCGTCCCACGGGCTCAGCTCTGACATGGAAGTACGGGGACGTGGTCCGAGTTTGGCCTCCCGAGGGAATGGACAGAGAAGGCTGCCCCAAGTGTCTGAATGCAGCGGAAGCAACGTCCATCCTTGCCGCTGAGCGGAGGGTGGGCCTGGGGAGGGCGGTCAGACCGGCAGGGACGGCCTCTCCTTGTGCCTCGGAAGCACCGCCGGGACCCCTGGGACGAGGCGGCCGCCCGGCCAGGCACTGGGGAGACCCCACCCGGACAGGGTCCCCGTTCTCAGCACGGCTCTGGGCTCCCGCTGACGGGATACAGGGCCCCACACAACACGCTTCGGGGAGCGAGCGTGGGCAGTGCCTGGGCACCGTGGTCAAGCAGAGGTTTCTTTCTCTTTTTTAAAAAATAGGTCTTTAACTTTTTTAGAGAGGGAGATGGGAGAGAGAGAAACCGACCGGTGCCTCCTGCATGCCTCCTGCTGGGGACTGAGCCCCCCACCTGGGCGTGCACCCTGACTGGGAATGGAACCCACAATCGGATGAGGCTCAACCAGCTGATGAGGCTCAACCAGCTGAGCCACACCAGGCTGGACGGCAAAGGCTCCTCAGAGGAAAAGCCCAAGGTGTTCAGGGCATTGAAAAGGAGCAGTCAGTGCCGAGACCGGTGTGGCTCAATGGATAGAGTGTCGGTTTGGGGACTGACGGGTCCCGGGTTTGATTCCGGTGAAGGGCATGTACCTTGGTTGCGGGCACATCCCCAGTAGGGGGTGTGCAAGAGGCAGCTGATCGATGACTCTCTCTCATCGATGTTTCTGGCTCTCTCCCTTCCGCTCTGTACAAAATCAATAAAATATATATTAAAAAAATAATAAAATGAAAAGGAGCAGTCAGCCCTGGCTGGTGTTCTCCGTGGTGGGAGCATCAGCCCCCGGCCCAGGGTTTCCAGTTTGATTCCTGGCCCGGGGCACCTACGGGCCTGGGTGGCGGTTCGCGCCTGCCCCGGTCACGATGAGTGCGGGAGGCGACCAGTCAATGTGTCTCTCAGATCAATGTGCTTTTCTCTCTCCCTTCCTCCCTCTCTCTAAAAAGCAACGGAAAAAAGAGCCTCAGGTGAGGATTAACAACAAAATAAGGGAGCTGTATTTTCCTAAAAAAAAAAAAAAAAAAAGGGTGCCAAGCTCACCAACGGCACCACCCAGTGAATGCAGGCACAGCTTTGGCTGTTCGTGGCCAGTAACTGCCGTTTCTCACAGCTGCTTCTGAGCGGCACGGCCTGGACTCTGACTGTACTCAGTGGAAGGCGTGTCAGGAAGGAGGAAAACACACAGCTTTGTGCACGGGCTTCTCAGCTCTGCCCGCCAGCTTCCTCATCCCCTCCCCTCCCCTCCCCTCCCCTCCCCTCCCCTCCCCTCCCCTGCCCGCGGAGAGCGAGCCCCAGAGCGGGGGTTTGGGGCATTTGCTTGTCACTCCGTGCAGCTGCCGTTTGCTTAAAGCCAGGAACTCCTTACGCTCAGAGCTCGCTTTCACCTGTGCTTGTTTTCCTTCAGTGACCTTTTGCCTTTAATTCTAGTCAATCAGGGTAAGAGGTTTCAGATTTACTGACAGCTCAACGCTGACAGCAGCACCGGCAAGGCGGGCCACTGAACGCCACGCCCGAGTCCCTCGGGCAGCTGCCCCTGAGCCTGCGCGGGCTGCAGGCCGGGAGGCAGGGTTTGCCCGCTTCACCCTCTAGCAGCCCCTAATTAACCCGGGGGGGGGGATCAAGGTGATGATGCTTTGTTGTTGTTTTTTGTAAATGTTTCTTTTAAAAATTTGACTTCAGAGAGAAGTGAAACATCAATGACCAGAGAATCATCCATTGGCTGCTTCTTGCACGCCCCCCACGGGGGATGGAGCCCACAACCATGGCACGTGCCCTGACTGGGAATCGAACCCGGACCTCCTGGGCACTTGAGACCTCATCATGCTCTGGACACGGACGCTGAGCGCACGGCTGCCTGCTCTGGGCAGAGCCCGCTGGGAGCGGGCAGGGCTCCGGCACAGAGTGGTTGTGAGCTCTGCCTGCGCTCACGGGACAGCACCGGGCAGGAGACGGCACAGGCCGGGCGCCGGGCCCTCCACGTTTGTGCTTTGCCACGTGCTGGTGGGAGGCTGTGGCCACAGAGCTCAGAGGATGTGCTCAGCTGCCTGGCCCGGAGGCCCCTCTAACCTGCCACATCCAGGAACCCCCTGACGGTAGACCTCAGGGCTGGGGAAGCCACGGAACCCCCGCCGGGGACGCCCTACAACACCCGACAGCTCTGGTTTCCAAAAATAGTTTTTACAGCACTTTAAATAATTTACAAAAAAAAAAAGCTACAAAAATCATATTTACCAGGACACACGTGTTAAATAAGGGCATCGCCTCCCGCTAGTGTACATATGTGCAGGGCGGTCACGGACCTGTCCCCCTACCTGACGGCCCGGACACGCGGGTGCTCACAGCGGGAGGACCTGGCCCGTGGCCACGGGGCTGCCGTCCTCCACGGAGGTGTCGCTCAGCTCGCTGGTGTCGCTGCCCCAGGCCTCCCGGTCCTCGTCCCGGCCCGCCGGCCGCCGGCACCTCAGGTCCAGCAGGTCCTCGTCGGAGCCCGAGTTCCTGCCGCCGCCGCCGCCGCCCAGCGCCCTCCTCCGGGGCCAGGCCCGGGCCTCCTTCCCCCGCAGGCGCGGGCGCCCGAAGCGGCCGGCGGCCGGGGCCTCCCGGAAGGCGGAGAAGGCGGGGCCCCGCAGCGGCAGGCTCAGGCCGGGGCCGAGGAGCCCGGCGGCCGGCGCCCCCCAGGCGGCACTGCCCCCGAAGTGGAACAGCTGTGTGGGCAGCAGCGGGGAGAAGCCGGCGAAGGGCAGGCCCTTCCGGGGGTCGGTGGCGAGGCCGGCGGCGCCCTGGGCCTGGCCCTCCGGCCCCCTCTCCCTCTCGCCGCCCAGGGCCCCCTTCCACGCCGCGCCCCTGCCTCCCGAGCTCAGCGCCCACGGGCTCTGCAGCGCACTCTGGTGGGCCACGAAGTCGCCCCACGGGAGGGCGAGGCCGGCCTGGGCCCCCCCATCCCTGTCGGCGCCCGGGCTCCAGGCGGGCGCGCTCCGGCTCCGAGCGGGCACGGGCAAGGCCCCCCCGGGACTCCGCGCCCGGGCCTCCGCCTGCGCCACGCAGGACGCCCCCCGCGGGCTCTGGTCCCGGTGAGGGGGAAGGCTCCTCTTGCCCGCGGGGGACCCTCTGGCCGACAGGGTCCCTCCGCTGCCCCGGGGAGCCGCCGGCTGGCCTCTGGGCGGAGCGGCGGGGAGGCAGGCCGGCTCCGTGCGGGGGCCGCCCCGGAGCCCCGCCGTGGGCTGAGGGGTCCCCCTGCCCCTCTGGCTCCGGGTGCACATGCCCGGCTGCGGGGCCGGGGCCGGGGCCCCCTTCCGGCACAGCGGCTCTGGCCTGGGCCCGCTCCCCGGAGCCCCTCCCGGAGTTTCTGAGCTGCTCTCAGTCTCCTTGGCCTTTTCGGCCAGAAACTTCCGGATCTCCAGCTCGATGCTGTCGTCACTGTCCACGGAGCTGCTGTCCTCGGACCCGAGGCCGGGGCTGGCGGCCGGGCCGGGGCGGCGGGCCTCGGCCTCGCGGGGGAACGGACTGGGCCCCGCCGGGAGGGCCTGGGGCGGGTCCGCGGGCCCCGTGCCGCCCGGCCCGGCCCGCTCGGTGGGGCCGCAGAGGCCGCAGGGAGGCCTCCCGGGCGGGCCGGGCCAGCCGTTCCCCCTGGACCTGGGGAGGCAGCTCTTCAGCACGGCCGGGCCGGCCGGGCCGCCCCGCGGACCCAGCGCCTCGGTGCCGCCGAACCTGACCCTCTTCCGGCCGCCGGCCCGGGGGTCCCTCCAGCGCCTCCGGAGCCTCCGCTTGGACCGCAGCAGGTCCTTGATGGCCGAGTCCAGGTCCTCGTCGCTGTCCAGCGAGCTGCTCTTGTCCTCGGAGCTCTCTCCCCCGTCCACAGCCCGGGCCTCGGCCACCTTCCCGGGGCCCGGCGGCACCCCGCCCCTCGTGTCTGCGGCCCAGGGCTCACCCCCCGGCCCGGCCGTCCTGCAGGGGGGGCCCTGCGCCCTGGCCTCGCCGTCCCTCCCGGGGGCCTCGCCGGGGCCGGGGCCAGTGTCCGGGGCGCCCTCCTTCACCGTGTCTCTCGTTCTCTTGGGGACCGAGGCCTGGACGGCGCCCCGGGCCGCCCTGCGCTTCCTCCTGCAGCTCAGCGGAGGCTCCGGGGCTTTCGAGGCGGGCGCCGTGGGGTCGCCGGCCTGCCGCGGGGGGTCCGGCGGCGGCGGCGGCAGGGGGCTCTGTGTGGGCGGTGGGCAGGTGTCCGCCCTGGCCGGCAAAGTCCCCGACTGTGCCTTCAGCGCCAGAAAGTTCCGGATCTCCTGCTCGATGCTGTCGTCGCTGTCCACAGAGCTGCTGTCGCAGTCGGCAGGGGAAGGCACACTGGGGGGGCAGGGGGGCGGGCAGGCGGGCGGGGCCCTCGCTCCGCCCTCCCCGGGGGCCGGCAGGATGGCTTTGGAGATGTCCAGGATGGCCTCGGCGCACATCAGCTCCGCGGAGGCGTCCGCCAGCCGGCTCCTGGCCGCCGCGCTGCCTGGGGCGGCCGGGGCTTTGGGCTCCCTTGGTGGCGGGGCAGGGGGGTCGGGGTCGAGGGGGCCCAGGTCCACAGCCTTTGAGGCCGCCGGCTTCCTCCTGCCTGGCGCTCTCCTGGGGGCGTCGGGTGAGGCACTCTGGGCGGCGAGGCCGGCGCCGGGGGCAGGAGGGCCAGGCAGCTGCTCCCCCGGCAGGGCTTTCGGGGGCGGGTCCCCGCTCGCCTCCTTCCTCCTCTCCCGCTGGTACCGCTGGATGGCTTCCTCGATGCCGTCGTCGCTGCTGGAGTCGGCCGCCGTGCGGTCGGGGTCCGGGCCGGCGCTCCTGGAGCCCAGTCCCCTCCGCCCGGGGCCCAGGCCCCTCCGGGCCCGGCCCTTCCCCGGGGCGTCCGAGGTGCGGCCGGCGGCGACCGGCCTGGGGGGTGTGGGCTTCGGGCCGCCCCCGCTCTCCGGCTCAGCGGCGACCTTGGACCTGAGGCTCCGGGGAGGCGTAGCTACCGTGGCCGGCCGGGGCGGGTTTGGGAACACAAGCTCCTTAGCAGCGCCCCCCGCGTCCTGCCGGGGCGCCCTGCCCGCCGGCTCCTTGCTGGGCCTGACAGCGGGTGTGGCCAGGTGGTCCCCGGGGCCCGGCTTCCTGTCCGCCGGCCGGTCGCCGGGCGGGGCCTCCAGCTGCCTCTTCTCGCTCAGGAACCGCTCGATCTCAGCCCGGATGCCCTGTTCGAAGGAGTCCTCGCTGCTCACGCTGCCCGGGGAGGCGGGGCCCGGGGCCTGGCCCGCTCCCCCGTGGCCACCGGGGGCGTCTCCTGAGCCAGGAGCCCGCTTCAGGGGGCACAGGGCGGCCGGGGCGCTGTCCAGAGGCGGCTCCGGGCGGCACGGAGGGCCCCGGGCGGCGGCTGCGGGCGGCACGGCCCCGCTCTTGGCCCTGAGGTACTCCTGGATGGCCTCCTCAATGCCCCGGTCCACCGAGTCGTCGCTGTCGGAGTCCCGCCCCGAGGGGCCGGGGGCCGAGGCCGCCTCCTTCCCCGCGGGGCCCGAATGAGCGGCGAGCCTGCAGGCGGGGGCGGCCGGCTGGGCGAGGCGGCCCCTGTGGCCTCCTCGGTGCAGGCCGCGCTCCTGGCTCCGGCCCCGTGCCGCCCGATCGCCCCGCAGCGAGCTGATGATCATCTGCACCCGGGCGCTCACCGCCGCGCCCGCCGCGCCCTCCGGGGGCTCCGGGAGGCGGCCGGGAAACCTGCAGCTCCCGGGTGGCCCGCAGGCCTCCCACGTGGCCTGGAGGGGGAGCACCGGAGGCGCGTTCATGAGGAACATCCTAGCCCCCGACCGGGGCGTGCACCGGGGCCAGTCTGTCCGCCGCCCGCTTCACTTCCTGCGGGGAAGAGAGACGCGGTGAGACGGTGCCGGTGGCCGCCGGTCAGCAGCCAGCACGGCCCCGGGCTGTGCAGGGAGCTGCCGGGAGGCTCAGGAGGAAGACGCGCCTTTGCCAGCCGCCCTGCCCAGAAGGCCCTCGTGAACGCACCCGTGTCTGCCCTGCCCCGTCCCCGCACCTCCTCAGGGAGAGAACCGGCTCCTGTACCCCCGGGGGCTGCCCAGGGCCTGGCGGCGAGACGCTCACCCTTCTCTGCAGGTTCCGGGGCAGGAGGACTCGGACCCTAGGGGGTGAGCAGGCGGGACCCCCGGGCGCCAGTTCATTGTTGACGGGAGCCGAGAGCCCCTGAGGGAGAACATGACAACAGGTGAGCAACTCAGCAATCACTGCCCCAAATGTCTTTACCGAGTCACCTTTTACCTAAAAACCAGTGGCCTGGTGCACAAATTCTTGCACACCGAAAGAAAAGGAGTTAGAAGAAATATTTTAATATCACTGTTCGCCCTTTCTCTGTAATAGAAGTGTCAGCCAAATTCATGATGGATAATGACACGTGTGGGACTGGAGCCAGCGAGAGCTTTATATGTATTGTGCCTGCACAAGTCAACTTAGCCTTCTATAGCTATTCAGTAAACTTGCTTAATTAGAGCTGCTTTCTGAAGCAGCTAACCTTTTCCAGCCCAGTGAAGCACCCAACTTCTCTTCCAGGTCATTGTCAGCAGCACAGCAGCCAATACCAACACGAAGCAGATTATTATCGTAGGGCACGCGGGGAGAACAAAGGGTGAAATATGTAACTGCAGCCGTGTCTGACTGTATTCTGTGCAGTGAGAAAGCCTGAAGTCATCGTCAAGGCCCACCATTTCTTACTTCTGTTCAGTCGGGTCAAGTTTCTGAGCTTTCTAAATCTCCGTCTTCCTGCTAATGAAAAGAAAATAGGATTCCGCCGAGCCTCCTATCTCCCTGCTTCAGGACTAATGTGAGGGTCAATGAGATGAGGCACGTGAAAACGCTTCACAGACATTTGTTTCAAGTGTAAAATGTTTCCACCTGGCTGTAAAGCAGGTCGTGTTTCTGGGCTGGAAACTTCAAGAAGGCTGGTTCCTAGGGAGAGGAAGCCGGTGGTATTTTGTGCCACGGGGTCTCGGCAGCATTGGCTGCATTTGGTGGGTTGACACTCAGGGTGGTGGCAGGGCCTGTGTCCCATTTGGGGGAAACCAAGTGTTGCTTTGTGGGTGCCAGGTCCGTGTTGCTGTTTCTCTGTAAATGGCCAGTGTGCGTTACGGGGGCAGCTCCTGCATTGAGTGTCTGCCCCCTGGTGGTCTGTGCATCATAGTGACCAGTCAGATGGTTGGACTCTTAGCATATTAGCCTTTTATATATATATAGATGTCAAATGTAGCCCAGCTGCCTTGGCTCAGTGGTTGAGCGTTGTTGACCCATGAACCAGGAGGTCAGGGGTCAATTCCTGGTCAGGGCACAGGCCTGAGTTGTGGGCTTGATCCCCAGTGTGGGGTGTGCAGGAGGCAGTCAATCAATGATTCTCTCTCATCATTGGCGTTTCTATCTCTCCCTCTCTGAAATTAAAAAAAAACATATATTACACACACACACAAGCCAGGAACTATGGTGTCAAGGGATTCTTGTCCTTACTTGAAGCTCTCATCAAGACCAGGTTCAGAGTTTGGATAAAGTGGCAACGTTGGTGTGTCTCAGGCCTGAGGTCTCCATCGCCCCACCTGCCCGCGTGGGGTCCTTTCCCACGTGTGAGAGGGAAAGGCTGCCAGGACAGAGAGGCAGATAGAGCTCACAGGCTGATCACATATGTGTATCGTTATGGGAAGAAGCAGCATCCAATTAAGGGCTCAAATTAACTTTTGAAAGAGTTTGCCCTGAGGCCAAATAGAATACATCACCACCAGTTTACCACCCCTGGGCACAGCGGGGCACCGGGATGGTGGTGGAAGCAGGTGGCCCAGCCCCCAGCCCTGGCACCGCACCCTTGGCCTCACGTCCCAGCCGCAGTGGCACCATGGAGGAGCCGCCATGGAGAATGCTAACGCTTAGCACTCCCTCAGAGCGGCCCACGGACAGGCCGCAGCGGTGCCCACACCGGGAGGCAGAGCGGGAGCACCGGGGCCGGTGCTGACCGAGAGGAAGGCGCAGACGGCCTTGGCTGCGGTAGCTCTAACGGTCGGTGAACTGCCCACCGCCTGGGCCAGATCCAGGTTAAACACCCAGGGCGTCTCCGGCAACGGCCTGTGCTTCAAAGCAACTGCCCGAGGGAACGGTCAGGACAACTGCCTAGACCACACCGCCCTGCACCCCGCGCCCAGGCCAGGCAGAGCTGGCTGGGGGGACACCCAGCGGGACCCCAAAGCCTCACGCTGCCAGAACTGAAAAGTGGTGACAGATCCAGAGCATCCTCTCAGGCTGGACACCCTCCTCCAGGCAAAGAATACAGCCTGGCTCCCTGCACCTAGTGCCCCCATCCATCCATCCCCCAATGCCCCATCCATCCATCCATCCATCCATCCCCTAATGCCCCATCCATCCATCCATCCATCCATCCCCCAATGCCCCATCCATCCCCCAATGCCCCATCCATCCATCCATCCATCCCCCAATGCCCCATCCATCCCCCAATTCCCCATCCATCCATCCATCCATCCCCTAATACCCCATCCATCCTCCAATGCCCCATCCATCCATCCATCCATCCCCCAATGCCCCATCCATCCATCCATCCATCCCCCAATGCCCCATTCATCCATCCATCCATCCCCCAATGCCCCATCCATCCAACCATCCCCCCCAATGCCCCATCCATCCATCCCCCAATGCCCCATCCATCTATCCTCTAAGGCCCCCCATCAATCCCCCAATGCCCCATCCATCCATCCATCCATCCATCCTCCAAGGCCCTATCCATCCCCCAATGCCCCATCCATCCTCCAATGCCCCATCCATCCCCCGATGCCCCATCCATCCATCCATCCATCCCCCAATGCCCCATCCATCCAACCATCCTCCCAATGCCCCATCCATCCATCCATCCATCCATCCCCCAATGCCCCATCCATCCATCCCCCAATGCCCCATCCATCACCCACAGTGGTCCAGCCCCTGGTGCCTAGGGGCGGGGTGTCCCCGGGGATTACAGAGCGAAGGGCTGAGCGAAGGGCCAACCAGAGGTAGGAGGTGGGAGGTGGGAGGTGGGAGGTGGGAGGTGGGGGGTGAGGGGTGAGGGGTGAGGGTTGGGGCTTGGGGGATGGGGGGTGGGGGTGGGGGTGGGAACTGGGCCAGACAGCAGGCCAGACCTCACAATCCCAAAGCTCAGCTGGTCCCCTAGCAAAGCTGCAGGCCAAGCCTGGGGTCCGAGGCGGGTGAGGCTCTCTCCTGGGGCGCTGAGGCCGCACCCTCTGCCGGGCCCACCAGGTCCTGAGCCGCGGGGGTGACACCGCAGGGAGGGCGCCGGGCCGGGCTGCCCTGGGTCCGGGGGCGGAGGCGCCGGAAGCTGCCCTGGGCCTCACCTGCCCCACCTGGTGCCCCCTCCCCGCACCCCCACCCCGGATCCCGGACGCGGGGCCGCGGGGCGGGGCCTGGGCTGCCGGGGCCGCGACTCCCGCCCGGGGACCCCGCCCGGCGCCCGCGATCGCGCCTCCGCCCCGCGCCCTCCGGGCCCGCCGCCCGCCGCCCGCCGCCCCCGCCGGCGCCCGGGAGGTGCGGCGCCCGGGAGGTGCGGGCGGCGGGGCTGCGGGCGGCGGGGGCCCGGCTCCCTCCCCCCCCCCGGCGGCGCCCGGGGCGCGGAGGGCGGGGCGGCGGGCGGGGCGGGGCGACCCCGGGGCCCCTCCCGGACCTACCGGCGGCGGCTCCGGAAGCCGTGCGGGCTGGGCATCATGGGAATGGCACGGCGAGTTCCGGGGAGGCGCCGGCCGGCCGGACCCCCGCCCGCGAGCGCGCCCACCTGCCGGCGCCTCCCGCCAGCGTCCTGGAGCCGCGAGAGTGGGCTGTGCGTGCCCCCCCGCGGAGGCGGGGACCCGGCTGCGGACCGCCCTGTCCCGTCCTGGCCACTCGGGGCTGCAGCCGGGAAGGCCCGCCCTGCACCCGAGGAGGCTGCAGGCCGGGTGGCTGCAGGCCGGGGAGGCTGCAGGCCGGGGTGGCTGCAGGCTGGGGGGGTGGCCGCAGGCCGGGGGGGTGGCTGCAGTGTGGGGGAGGCTGCAGGCTGGGGTGGCTGCAGGCTGGGGGTGGCTGCAGGCTGGGTGGCTGCAGGCCGGGGTGGCTGCGGGCCGGGGTGGCTGCGGGCCGGGGTGGCTGCAGGCTGGGGGGGTGGCCGCAGGCCGGGGGTGGCTGCAGGCTGGGGGGGTGGCTGCAGGCTGGGGTGGCTGCAGGCTGGGGGGGTGGCTGCAGGCTGGGGGGGTGGCTGCAGGCTGGGTGGCTGCAGGCCGGGGTGGCTGCAGTGTGGGGGTGGCTGCAGGCTGGGTGGCTGCAGGCCGGGGTGGCTGCGGGCCGGGGTGGCTGCAGGCTGGGGGGATGGCTGCAGGCTGGGGGGGTGGCCGCAGGCCGGGGGTGGCTGCAGTGTGGGGGTGGCTGCAGTGTGGGGGTGGCTGCAGGCTGGGGGTGGCTGCAGGCTGGGAGGCGGGACGCGGGCAGCTACTTGGTTCTGGGGTCCAGACCGGGGCTGTGAGCGGCCGTGTCCCCAGAAACCCCTGCAAGTCCGGGGTCCCCGTGTGCCACCCGAGCTGCCCCTCCGGGTGAGCTCCTGGGCGGAGCTCCCCCAACCTGCCCCCCCCAACTACCCCTCTCTGCCCGGCCCCAGGTGCCTCCCTCCCTCTGCCCGGCCCCAGGTGCCCCCCTCCCTCTGCCCGGCCCCAGGTGCCCAGCTGCGCGCTGCAGGGCCAGCTCCGCCCAGGCAGCTGCCCTGGCCTCCAGCCGCCGTGGC